ACGCCGCGGGCCTCGCCCTCCCGCGGCCGCACTCACCTGACGACCCTCCACCGCGGCCACTCACCGCGCTCGGGGGCGCTTGCACAGCCGCCCGGATAGCGCGACCCAAGGCAACGACGGGAGGAGGAGGAGGTCGGCGAGCCGGCGCCGCTACTCTCCGCCACAGCGGGTGCACTGCGCTGGGAGCCGCCGAAAGAGAATGGGACTGCGCCTGCGCCGGGAGCCGGGAGGGGCCTTCCCTGGGGAGAGGAGGTAGAGCCGGGGGCGGGGCCTGGCCAAAGTGGGGCGGGGCCGGCGTGGGGCCCGAGGGGGCCGACGCGTTGCCGCGCCCCCTGGCGCCAGACGGGACTTGCGGCAGGTCCCTGAGCGGGGACCCAGGTGCCTCCTCTGGCGGTTTCCCCGGAAACGACTGCTGGCTGCCCTGAGCCCTGGCAGTGAGCTAACTTGCAGTGGGCTGGGGAGTGGAGTTGACTCGGGGCCCGCAGATCCCTAAAACTCGAGTGAGTGTGCGTGTGTGGGTGTGTGCGTGCGCGTGCCGTGAGTCGATTTGGGCCCCGCAGAAATCTGAAACGTGTGTGTGTGTTAGAGAGAAGAGACAAAGGGAGCGAAGCTGGTTCCCATCAGTTGAAGAGCATTTGAGATGTCTCTGTGCATGCTTCTCTGTCTTCTGTATCAATGGTTTTCTCTACACGTGCACCTTCAAATGATAAAAGTACCGACAGAACCCAACTCTTTAAATCTGACCAGACAGAAGCACTCACATGGGAGGCACATTGGAATAGGATTACCATTCTAGATATTGGTCACATCTGAAAAGACAGTAGGTTATGTGTTTGAGTCTTGGCATTAGAATTCCTAGTTTAAGCCTGCTTCCTACTACCTCTGTAGCATTGGGAAAGTTCATCTCAACCCCAATTTTCTCACTGCCAGGTGCCAGTAGCATATGCCTATAATCCTAGCTACTGAGAAGGCTGAAATCTGAGAATCGAGGTTCTCGGTCATACTGGGCAGGAGAAAAGTTCATATGACTCGTATCTCCAATTAACCACCAAAAAAAAAAAAAGCCTGAAGTGGAACTATGGCTCAAATGAGCACCTTGAGCACAAAAGCTCAGGGACAGTGCGCAGGCCCTAAATTCAAGCTCCAGGACTGGCACCAGAAAAAAAAAAAAACCTAACTTAGCAGGGTATGGTGGCACAACTCACTACTTCTAGAAGGTAGAGGCAGAAGGACTCCAAGATCAAAGCCAGTCTGGACTACATAATAAGACTGTATTACTTCACCTCCTCACTCCATTTGAAAAAAGTAAAAAAGAATACCTCATTTAAATTGTTGAAAGTTTAAATGGTTTACTACATGTAAAACAAAATACAGCAATACACAAAAGTATTCAACCACTCTTATTATCAATAACCTAGAAAATAATATTTTATTAACATACCTCCAAAATATTACCAATTCCTATTCCTTCTAATTCCTAAATAACTCTTAAATATATCTTGTTTTATTTATTTATTTATTCTGAGAGCAGAAAAAAATAATAAACAGCCCTCACTGTCCCCAGACTCAAATGCAAGGAGGTAAGTATAGATTCATTGTACTCATAAAATGACATGTTGAGTTGAAAGTTGTACAACAACTTCAAGATAACTTTAAAAATAAAGAACTTAATCTAAAAAATAAGTGGAATAAGTAACAACATACAGTAAAATTCTTGGTCTCTCCAGTTTTGCCATACACTCGTGCATTTTTGTTTCTACACTGTTTCTGTTTCTCATCTTTTTCTTAACCTGGCTATTTCCTGCTTGCCCTCCATGACCCAAGTCACGCTTTAATTCCATTATGAATTTTCCCACCCCCGTCTCCTTTGCTTGCCATCTGACTATGCTGACCACCCCAGTGCTCAGTGCCCCTGCATGTCCTTCCATACCATCTTATTTCTAGCACTGTCCATGTGAATCATAACATGGAGTTTTAATTCTCCCTTTTCCTAATAAGACTATAAGCTTCTTAAGAAATTTGACACACTCACCAAATACAAAATGAATGAATGACACAAAGCAATCAGAAGACTAGGTTATGAGAACTTGTTAACAAGATGTTTTGAGGTCAAGGGCTTAGGGGAATTAAAGACCTCTCAAGAGGCCAACTTATTCAGCACACAGAGACCCACGAGATTGGGCTTTCCTCCTGTTCTGATGAAACATCTGTATAGATTGTACTTGCAAATGCCAGGGAAAGAGAGAGCTTTGGTTTCAGAAAGAGAAAAATCTCAGGCTTAAACCAAGCCTGTGAATTGAACTCAGAGTTTAATGGAATTACAGATTTTGCTGTGCTATTTTGGTAGACATGAAGTCCAAATTTGAAAGTACTCATATTTTGATGAACATGAATCATACTTGTAAGTTTCTGCAGCTGTTTTGGGTGTGCAAACCTCCAGATGTATTTGAATTACCAAGTAATTCTCCTATTGGTACAGTTTGGTGCAAAAGGGATTTAATTTCACAGATCTGAAAAGCAACTATGCTGCCAAAAAAGACATGATTTAATTAGAATTCAAGAAGTGGCATCTGAATGACAAAGTCATCCTAAGTTTTAGACTGCATGGACTTCTTTCATGACACCACTGTCGAGGCTGATGGCAACCATAAATTCAGAAACAAAATCTGAAGTCTCGGTTCAGCTACCCACTGCCTTAGTACAACTCAAATTGTTAAGGTGGGTACACAACTGCATTGTCATTGTTCTGTTATAATTTAAAATTTTGAGGGCCAGAAATACTTTGCCATCAACCTTGTGCAAAATATCCTTTGCAAACAAGAAGATACTTTTGAGAGCAAGGAATAGATACCTGCCCCAATCCCACTCCAGCAATTCCATTCAGGGCTCAGGATGATTCTAGAATCTGACTTGATGAACAAAGTAAATACAGAAAGTAACTAAATACTATTTTTAAGGAGTAAATGGCAGTAATAATTTAACTGGTCTATTTTTTAAGGTCTTGTAATTTTTAACATAATCGTTGGGCTTCAAGTAAGATCTAGCCAAAAGATGTGACCCATCCCTATGCTCAGTAGACTTTATTGTGCAGACATCACTAAAAAGTTAAAAAGGAACTAAATAAGAATTAGGACTATGTCCTCTTTCTACATTTATAAATCATTCATGAGCTAAGAGCAAAAACAACATACCCATCCCCCCAAAAATCTACAAATTCATTTTTTTCTTTTGCAAACTAGAACCTAAGTATACTGCAGAGATTTCAAAACATGCAGAAAAGTGGATGGAAAAGGATTGAGCAAGGATGGTATAGCAGACAGTAGAGGAGAGGGGAGAATAGATAGAGTAGCAACAAGACTCAGACATTGCGAGCAAAAGTGTAACTCATGAACTAAATGTGTGGCTTAGTGGTAAAGTTCTTATATAGCATGCACAAGGTGTGGGTTTTACCCCAGCACCCTCACCCTAAAATAGAACTCTTGAAGGTAAAAATAAACCATACTTTAAGTTAGAGAAACATATTTTGTTTGTAAGTGGGGATGAGAAAATTGGAGCAACCCATGCTGGCAAAAGCAATTACAACTGATGAATGGATATATATGTGTGTATGTATGAATATATATATACATACATATATACATATGTACATACATACATACACACACAAACATTATTCAACCAAAAAGAAGACTGAAGGCATGTTGTTTGCAAGGAAATGGATAGACCAAGAAACTATCACATTAAGCAAAGTAATCCAGACTCAAAAGGACAAAGGATATCCCTCATATGTGGATGTTAGACCTAACATTTAAAAAGTATATGTGTCTGTGTGTGATAAATATGACTAAAGTATATGCATGTGGAGACAGCAAGATGAAACCCCTTTGAACAATTAACATGCACTCTATCAAAATAGAATATAGGAAGTTGGAAGATTTCTTGCCTTGGATATAGGAATTAGTGGGAGGGAAGAAGAAAAATGGAAAATAGGAAGGAGGATGAATATAGATAAAATACATATGCGTGTAAAAATGAAACAAGACAATAAGACTGGTTTGAGAAAGGGACAGAGAAAATAAAAATAGAAGGAGGTGATTATGATCAAGAGGAACTGTATACATAAGTAGATTGAACAACAAATTGAAATCAATTTTGAAAAAGAAGAAAGGCAAGTAAGGCTGTACACAAAATCATACAGCTAATCCATACTTGCAGGAAGCAATCTGTTCATGTGGCAGAAGATAAGTGATTCTACACTTTGTAGAAAAACACCTCCCTTCTCACTTCTAATCCCATCCAGAACACTGGAAACTCTGGGAATAGCAGGTCTAACAAGACCCTGACTCAATAATGAGAAATAAGAAAGGAAAACCCCAACACCATATATATAAGGAAAGTATAATACAACTTTTGGGGAAAGGAATAAAATAGAACTGATTTTTATAATAAAATGTTTCTATAACAGATAATATTTTAAACTTTTCTCCCTGAACTGATGTGAGAATGAGGCAATTGCTTCTTTATAAAAAGAAAAACAGAACAGTACTGTATGATTCAAGGAAAAAGATACAGTGAAAACAGGAAGTGCTGTGACACACAGATTTAGAAGAACTGCAGTAGGAAAAAATCACAAAAAGAAAAGAAAAAGTGGCGCTGTAGCTCAAGTGGTAGAGCGCTCACCTTGAGCTGTACCCAAGCCCAGAGTTCAAGCCCCACGACCGACAAAAAAAAAAAAGGAAATTACAAGGAATTGATAAAAGAAGACTTAAGAAATGTAGAAAAAGAGAAATGAAAAGCAAGCAAAATAAAAGAGTAACAACAACAACAAAAAAGATTACAGCCTGACACTGGTGGCTCACACCTGTAATCCTAACTACTCAGGAGGCTGACATCTGAGGATCACAGTTCAAAGCCAGCCCAGGTAGGAAAATGCATGAGACTCTTATCTCCAATTAACCACCAGAAAAGCAAAAATGGTAGAGCACTAGCTTTGAGCAAAAAGAGCTCAGGGACAGCTAACAGGAACTGAGTTCAAACTCCATGACCAACAACAACAAAAATTACAAATAATATATACAGAGTATATACAGAGAAAGACAAAAAGAAGGAAAGAAAAATCATAACTGGTGGCCCAAAAGAAAAAGATCCAAATAATGGGACAAATAACTATTTAAAGATATAA